CCTGCTGAAAGTCGCAGCCAGAACGCCATCTGCTGAATGCCAGAGCGCAGGATGCCTGGGTGTCTGCAGCCAGAGCAGCCGGAGTGTGTGCTTCCTGCTCTCCTCCTGGCAGTAAATGCTATTTCCTTGAGCTCTTTTTAGATCAAAGGAAGAGCTGGGCTGGAGAGATGAGTGAGGACTACAGCACGCATTTGGGACGCTGCTGGCATGGCTTAAAAATAGGGCTCTGTCCTTGAACGCCACACAGAAGCAACTCAGGGTTTTCGAAGGGCCTGTCCGGCCAAGGTCATGAGCCTTTGGGGAGAAACCTTTCAGAATATGTCTCCCCTGCACCACTGGGAGGCATCTGTGACCCAGAAGCAAACCTTTCCAAGTCAAAGGCCTCAATAAGGTGGCTAAAGGGAGACCAAACGTTTAATGAGCACCTAAATGTGCCACGCGCTGTGTCTGGTGAACTTGCCTTGTGTCATCCTCACAACGAATAGAGGTGATTTTTACCAGTTTTCTAGGTGTGCCTGAGGCCCAGCGAAGTTAAGCACAGACTTCAGGATCACAGAGCCAATGAATAACAAAACCCAAAGTTAAGCCCAGGTCTGTCTGACTCCAAGCTCATGCTCTTAGCAATGAAAATCTTCAAGAGATGGAGGTGAGGGGCTTATTTGTTGGCTGGATTTTGATGAAGTTTATTGAACATCTACTATGTGCCAGGACTTCTGCTGGGATCTTTCTGTGATCTCATTGCCCCTGCCAATGGCTGAGATGGGTGTCTAAGGTCACACACCATTTACAGATGACAAAACTGCAGCCTTGGGAAGTGACTTGTTCAAGGGCCTTCATACAAATTAGTAGCAAAGCACAGATCTTAGGTTGACCTATCTTCCAGAAAGATTTGCCTAGGGCTGGCCATGGCTACACTGATGTTGCAATGACGGATTCCCTACCACCCTAACCATCCTAAGCCACACCTCACCCACCCTGAGAACCTCCGAACATGTGTTCAGAGTTCTCTTGACTAAATGCTGTAGAGAGCCTCCTGGACTGGGTTCGGCTAGAGCAGCCCTGGTTACCATGAGGGCTGGGCAAGGACTGTCTCCTCCTCCTCTGAACCAGAAGGGGAGCTGCAGAGGACTCCACCATGTCCCCAACTCACAGAAACCTCCCTGCCCTGTTTGTACATCCCCCTGGACCCAGGGTCTGGCTGAAATCAGAGGCGCACTCCCTAGCTACTACCAACACCCTCCCCAAGCTGGTGGGGGCCTTGGCATTTTCGGGGAGGATGGGGACATGTAGTTTGTCCCTAATGTGGTTTGGGGCTTCTTCCTGGCAGAACACCCTCTCCCCAGAGACGCTGTCCATTTGAATCTGGTCTGGACACCAGCAGCTGAGGACCTCTGACCCCATAGATACAGCCCTTTGGGGAGGGGTACCATGGGGACATTTGGACTCCTGATGGACTATTCTGCAGCCATGGAAGGGCCACAGTGAAGGCGTGGAGCCAAGTGGGGAAGTGCTGGGTATGTCGGGTTCGAGAGGAAAGGGCAACATACAAAATGGGCTGTGCGCTCTGATTACAAGAAAGTTAGAAAAAATATTTAGTGCTACTTAGTCCTTCAGGACTTAGGGAAGGATGTCAGGACTGGGAAAAGAGCACTGATTTGGGCTCAGGGGGAGCTGAGTTCACATCTCGGGGCTGTTCTTGCAACTGTGTGAAGTGTCATTGCTGCCTAGAGCCTTGTTTCCTCCTGGAAAATGGGGTCAGTAATTCTGCAGGTGAGAGCTCGTGTTGAGAATAAGCTGCAGTCATATTGGAAAATTTCCAGCACAGGTCCTGAGGTATCATAAGTTCTGTATCATATGGTGCTGTCCTGGGTCAGGGCTGAGACAACAGGTTGCAATTAAAAGTGCAATTCGAGTCAGGTGTGAGCATGGGAAGATGCAGGTGGGCAGTTTTCTCTTCTTTCCTAAACTTTCTATAATGTGGCTGTCATTTATTGCAGCAACTTCAGTGATGCAGTTGAGGTTTCCTGCTGACATCTCTAAACCAGGCCACTCTGTCGGTCCCCTGGAGTCCACCTCCATATTTTTCTGTTCCCTGTATGAACAAACCTCTTTCCCTGAACCCAGCTAAAAGCAGATGTGGGTATGCAGTTTGGAGATCGCTTATTGTTGTTCTTTATTTTCAGCATCTCTGATTTGTGTAAATAGCACATCGTCTTAGAACGGTTTCACTCTGGTTTTCTTTATCACATGTCAGGGCTCTGGCCTCAGAGAGGGGAAAATAAGAGTGTTTATCCCTCATTCCCTGGAGGAAGTTGGATCATGTAATCAAGATTGAACAAATATGTAAACTTTGCCAGTGACTTGGCTGCATTTTATCCTAACATATAGTTGGGTTTGCAGGACACTTCCCCTTCCAGTAACAAAGCAGTATATCTCCTGGAGCAGCCCACCTTCACTGAAATTGTTGGACTGCTCCAGGGAAACATCTGCTTGGAATTCCCAAACTGTTTTGTAAAGGAACTCAGGTGGAGAGATAACATTGGGTGGGTGGGGGGACCAGTTTAGGGGAGGGGAGATAAAAATAATCAAATCAGCCTTTTGATCGTGGTATCGTGTTTTGTTTTCTGGAGGCTTGGCCAGTGGAAGGGGACCTTGGTCTATGAGCACTGGAGGAAGCTATAGCTGAGAGGTTGGGTGGCTTGGACAGGGCCATGGCGTGTGAAGGACACGGGCCTCTGATGTCCCCACTCAGCCTCTGCCAATGGTGTGCACTGGGTAGCCTACTTGAGTTTTGTCCTTCTGAAACAGCGCCCCTTCCTCTTAGCCTCTGGTTCCGGAGATGGCCTGCAGCCTACTTCTGAGCCTGCCCCTCCATTGCAGGCAGCCTTGGCCTGGTGGGGTCCTGATCTGTGGGGAGCCCTTTCATAGCCCCCTCTGCCCTTTGCTGTGTGGCTAAGCCCCTCGGCTTGGCATTCAAGGCCTTCCCTCTGGACCGAGGAGCGTCTGCAGCACCCTTGGCCCTCACCGCTGCAAGACAGTGACACCCGGCCTCAAGGCCCTCTGCCACAGCTGCCCTATAGTCCCGTAGGCTTGACTCAGCGACCAGTGTCCTTGTCTGGCCCTCCCCAGCTGTCCGCTCTGCACACAGTTGTCTGAGCAGTCACACTTCTCTGCTCCGAAGCTTCAGCAGTCATTTCCCGTTCAGAGTGAAGCAGTTGAAGAGCTAGCGAAGAACTCTAGGGTCCCCTCACTCTCCTCCCCCACTCATTTCCAGAGTTCTGCTCCCCTGCTGACACCACTCTGGCTCCACTGGCTTCCTTGTCCTATTAGCACAGTCCTCCCTCAGGGCCTTTGCACCTGCTGTTCCCCCTGCCTGGAATGCTCTTCCCCCCCAATACCTTCATGGCTCACTCTCACCTCTTTTAGGTCTCTGTTCAAACATCACCCATCAGAGAGGCCCTCTGAAAATCCCAAGATAACATCCTCTCTCTGCCCCCTCACTGGTACATTTCTGTCAGTAATGCACCTCACTGGGGTACAGAGCAGGCTTATTTATTATGGGACTTTTCCCACTGGAATGTCAGCTCCATCCTTGTGGAAGCCTTGTCTGTCTGGGGAATTGCTGTCTCCCAGTGTCTACCGTGTTGTCTGGCACTTACTGGACACTCACTTAATAGTTGTTAAATGACTGAATGACAGAAACCTTTAAGTTCTTTTCTAAAGTGGGGCCTTGGCTTTGTTCCTTGCACTTTGTCTTCTGTGGGGCAGTGGCTTCTGCTTGAAGAGGGGGCTCCCAGCTTCCCTTCAAGGTTCCCCAGCTCAGTGACCAGGGCTCCCTTCTCCATGGGCTGGGGAGGAGCCAGGGCATTTTCTCCATCCTGGCCCCCATGAGCCTCAGTGTTCAGCGAACCCACCGCCTCCACCCGAGTGCCAAAGCGCAGTGTGGGCTGTGGCCTGTGTGGGAGGAGGGTCCCTGCTGTGACTTCCCATTCTCCAAGGCTGCCACTCTCGCTGCACACCGTGGGCTGCCTTTGAGCTGGACCTTGGTGCTGCAGTGAGACTCAGCCTGTGGTAATCACCCACCTGCCACCACCCGGGCCTGCCCCTGGGAGGGGGAGGTGACTACTCCCACTCACTACAGAGCCACCTGGGGCCCTGACCAATAGCCAGAGCCTTTGAAAGGAGACCACCCTAGATCCTAGAACAGAATTTCCTTAGAAACAAACTCCAAAGGCGTGTGTTCCAGAAAAGCCAACGTGCTCCCAAAGAACGCCTTCATCTTCTGAGGGGAAGGGGAAGGTGACAACATCATTGGGTTATTAGCAGCCGGTGAGACCGTACTCTGCCAGGTAGTGGTTAGGGGCTTCATCTGGGTTATCTGTCAGCAGCTGGGTGAGTTAAGTTATGCTGCCATTCCACGGGCAAGAGAACTGTATGCCTGGTCCCGTATCACAGAGCCAGGAAGCACCAGAGAGCTGGGATTCCCGGACCACCTTGGGGAGCCCAAGAGAAGGCTCCCCATCTGTAGCCTCTGGTGTCTTGCTTCTGAACAAAACTCGCACAGAGAAAAGCTGCCAGATCCCCTCACCACTGCCCAAGAATCCAGGGCTCTCAGTACCCTTGGAGGAACTCTGCAGCCCAGAAATGGCCCTGAGAGGAAGCTTCCAGATCTGAAGGGATTTGATGGGGATGGAGAAGTCATTTGACCCCAGGCTGGCTGTTGTGACAACCTCACTGGTGTTAGCCTGTGTGAGAGTGGAACAGCTCTCATGCTTACAATACACACAGACACACACATGCACACATAGCATTAGGCCTCAGTTGGGCCTTCTGTGGAATGGGTAGAATGCCCTGAAAAAAATAGGGGTGGTCTCCATTTGGTCTAGGCTGGAATCTTCTAAAGTTTATCAATGACTTTTCTATTAAGATGGAATTTAACATGAAAATGATTATGAAAAGACGACTCGAGCCCTAACCTTCCTACCTGTTTCCTCCTGCAGACCCGAGTCCCCCCACACGCCTCCTGGCCACCCGTCCCTGCTGTGGCCCCGGCCCCGAGCGGCGCCCAGTTCTGGGTGAGGCACCGCGCTTCCACACGCAGGCCAAGGGCAAGAATGTGCGGCTGGACGGCCACTCACGCCGGGCCACGCGGCGCAATAGCTTCTGCAACGGTGTCACGTTCACACAGCGGCCCATCCGCCTATATGAGCAGGTGAGGCTGCGCCTGGTGGCCGTGCGCCCCGGCTGGAGTGGCGCGCTGCGCTTTGGCTTCACGGCGCACGACCCGTCGCTCATGAGCGCCCAGGACATCCCCAAGTACGCCTGCCCTGACCTGGTCACACGGCCCGGCTACTGGGCCAAGGCGCTGCCTGAGAACCTGGCGCTGCGCGACACGGTGCTGGCCTACTGGGCCGACCGCCATGGCCGCGTCTTCTACAGCGTCAATGACGGCGAGCCTGTGCTCTTCCACTGCGGAGTGGCCGTGGGCGGCCCGCTCTGGGCTCTCATCGACGTCTATGGCATCACCGATGAGGTGCAGCTCCTTGGTAGGTGTTGCGCCCTGGACGGGGACCGGGTGGGAGGTGCCTGGGTGCAGGCTTTCTGGGCCACAGACAGCACACAGATGGATCAGACGCAGCCCATGATTCGCTGGGGAAGCAGACAGACGTGAGTCAGCGCTCACATAGCGGGCAGCCACCATGCAGAAGTCCTGGTGTTGGGAGCTCATTGGTTACACACACACACACACACACACACACACACACACACACACGCTCTCTCGCTCTCTCTCCCCTTACAATTTAAGGTTTTTTTTAATTGAGGTAAAATTCGCATAAGAGGAAAGTATTTTAAAGTACATAACTGAGTGGCCTTTTGTTGCCAACCGTCACCACTATCTAGTTCCAAACATTTAACCCTCCCAGTGGACACCCGTACCTGTAAGCAGCCACCCCCTTCCTCCCTGGCAACCACCAGCCTGTTTTCTGTTGGAGACCTTAGCTCTTAAACCTGCAGATTGCACCCGAACCAGCCAGCCTTGATTCTGGGTTAGCAAAGGGAGAGCAGGCTTTTCAGGGGTCTGGACACTGCGGCGCGTATCACCACCTGAAAGGAAATGCACAGATCTAAGGGGTCGGTTTGACATTTGTACACCTGTCCCTAAGCCCGGAAGTTCGCACCTGCCAGAGTCAGTCCCCCTGTTCCCTGGGGGGAGCCCTCTGCTGATTTATCACAGAACTTCACCTAAGTGGGATCAGACAGTGGGTGTGCACTTGTGTGTGGGTTACTCAGCACAGTGTTTTGAGATTCAGCTGTGTAGTTGCAGTATAGACCAGCAGTTTGTTCTTTTTTGTTGCTGAGTACTGTTTTACAATATGGATTTCCACAGCTGGTATGTCTGAATGTTTGGGCTGTTTCTGGTTTTCAGCCTTGTATCTTGAAGGAAACCCTGGCTTGGAGTCCTTGCCCTCTGCCCCCACCATTGGGCACAGAGGGAAGATTCGTACATCCAAGCCCTTTCCCCCAAGAAGTAAGAAGGTATAGAACTTCTGAGTGGTTGGGAGCACACCCAGGCTTGGGAGTCACAGAGCCCTCTGTCTAGACTTGGCTCTACTCCTCTGAGCTGTGTGGCCTCAGCCAGTTGGCTAGACCTCTCTGTGTCTCAGCTTTTTCATCTGTAAAACAGGTTCATGATAGCACCTACCTCAGGACTTGCTGACAGGGTCGCATGAGACAGTGGATGCAAGGGGTGTAGCACAGGGCCTGCTACATAGAAAGCACTTGAGATATAACAGCTAAGAATAAAAAGCTCTACCTGTTTGCAAGTGGGCTGTGCCGTGCCTGAATTCCAGGCTACCTGCCCTCCACGCTGGGGCCCTGCTCTGGCATTGTAACCTGTCCCACCAGGTTGTTTCCGGAAAGGTTTTGGCACTTCACCTCCAGAAAACTCAGGTCTCTAAAACCTCCCGGGTCTCCCGTCACTCTCAGAGCTCTTTATTCCTATGGCGCAGGGAAGCAGCCATTCCTCCTCCCTCTGCCCATCCACAGACCCTGTCTCCTGGTGGCAGACCGGGTGCCACAGCCACTTGACAGTCAGCACAAGTGGGTTTGGATTTTAAAAAATACACATTGGAAGCAGCCTTGATGATGCAATGAGACAGAATAAATCTGGGGGACCTGTACTCTTCCCACACACTTTTGTTTTCATTTGCTATACTGGAGATTGAACCCAGGACCTCTGCACTGAGCTACATCCTCAGCCCTTATTTATTTTTATTTTGAGACAAGGTCTCACTAAGTAGCTAAGTTGCTCAGGCTGGGCTTGAACTTGTGATTTTCCTGCTTCAGTCTTCCAGACCACTGGTTCTCCCTTTTCATTTGCTTATTCTGCAAAACTTCATGTGACCCCAACAATGTTCTGCAACCCTTTGAGGGAAGGGAGAGGCAGAGTCCACTGGAATGTCAGTGTAACACAGCAGACCTGAGCCTCAGTTTCCCTATTTGCGAGTTGTCCCTGAGCTGTGCTGGTGATGGGCTGTCCCTGGCACAGATGTCACAGGGCAGTGATCACACAAATGCACAATAGGAGGAAATGAGATCAGAAGGAGCCGCATTGCTGGGTGATGGGACCAAGAGGAATTTCACTCTTCTTGTATCTGTACAGAGTTGCCTTTTAAAGACATATACTAGGGGGCTACCCACTCTGGATGCCTCCTGCCCCTCAGGAGCTTTCCTATCAATAAATATCTTCCTACAAAAAAAACCATATACTAAGGCTGGGTGTTTAGCTCAGTGGTGCCATGCCTGCCTCGAAAGCACAAGGACCTGAGTTCAATCCCCAGTACTGAGAAAAAAAAAATATATATATACTATGTAAAATATTATATATGTGTGTGTATATATATATATATATGTGTTATATATAGAAAGGGAGAGAGAGAGCTTGTATTGCTTTTTAAAAATTTTTATTCCCATAGGAGATCGAACTCAGGACCTTGAGCTTGTGAGGCAGGCGCAGTGCCACTGCACTAAATCCCCCAGCCCTTGTATTGCTTTTATAGCCAGAAAAAGCAATAAAATTATTTTCCTTTCCAAAGGTTATATGTGATAATGGAGAGGAAGTTTCTGGCATGTGATTTCTGGCATGTGATTGCCATGTGTAAATGTTTGTTTCCTTCCCAAGGGAAAAGCAAGTTGACCTGAGTCACATCTGAGTAAAGGAAGGCTCAGTGGTTTTTATTGCTTTTTTTCTTCCAAAATTAATGATGATTTATAGTGGGGGGGTGAGTGTAATAAACATAAGCAGAAAGCTATACATTCATGATTTTGTATGGCTTAAGAATAGGCAATACGTACCTTATTGTTGTCAGCACAAGACTAGGCAATGGGAGAACCTCAGAAATCCTCCCAGAAACCTCCTGGTTCTGGGAGAGCTTAGCTTCCTGAGGGTGGGGTCCCCGGAACCAGTGGATGGATGCACATGGGCCAGATGTGTCCGTGTTCTCCGGGGCCCTCTGGACTCCTGTCCATTACGAGGAACAAGGAACACCGTGGTTCCCATGGAGGTTCTTGGCTGGAAAGTTCCAGAATAGAAAGCCCCTTAGGGCCTCTTCATCCTTCCCTTGCCTCTCTCAGACTCCACTGGGCAAAACCTGAAAACCAAAACCCAATGATGGTATCTGGGCAGAGTTGTCAAATTTAGCAAAAAAAAAAAGATTCCCAGTTAAATTTGAATTTAAGATAAACAATGAAAAAATTTTAGCACAAGTTTGTCCTGTGCTAAACTATTTGGAACATACGTATGTGGGGGAAAATGTGTTTATCTGAAATTCATACATACCCTGGCATCCTGTATTTTATCCGGCAACACTAGCCTGGGAAACACCCTCCCATCTTGTGTGTGGGGCTGCGGTTTAATTGGCCCAGAACTTGAGGCAAAGGTAAGTGTCAGAAATCTGCAGGCTCCACAAGCCTCAGTGGGTTTGGAGCTGGTGGTACAGCATGCTCTGCCCAGTGCCTTCCCGCCTGGGGCCAGCTGCAGCAGGGAATGCTGCATCTGTGGGGCCAGGCCCTGGGGTGTCCTGTTAGGTAAAGAGTCTGAGGTTCTGAGAAGGAAAGCGACCAACCAGCCTCAAGCATCCCAGCTTGTAAGTGGTAGAGCCAGGATTAGAAGCAGTTATGTCTGTCTTTAGCTCACTCTCTTCTTGTTTCTCCGTCCCAGCTGTACATTGAGACCCCTGAGGAGCTTTGAAAGTCCTGCTTCTCAGACTACACCCAGACCAATTAAATCAGAACCCCTGTGGGGCGGGGGTGGGATGCATGCATCTGGATTCCCTCATCCTCAGGTGACCCTAGGGGACAGCCAGGATTGAGGTCCCAAGGAACTGTTTTCCTGGGTACATACTTTCCTCCTTTCCTGCTTGGAAAGCTTGGGTGCCAAGCTGAGTCCCTCAGACTCTTCCATTCAGGGTATGGCACCATCATTTGCCCATGAAAGCCATGAGCTCATCACCTGAACATGCACTGCCTTCTGATCTTACTTCCCCATTATATATTTCTACGATCATTGTCCTGGCTGTGGCAGGTGAAGCCCATTATAGTACATCTGAGGGATGACTTGCAGATAAGGAAACTGAGGCTTATGTTTGCTAGATCTCATTGGCATTCTAGCAGACTCTCCCTTCCCCAAAAGACACACAGAACAGCATAGGGATTCTGTGAATGGTTGCTGCACACAAAAAGGTTGCCCTTTTTGCTTCATTCCCTCTTGCCAGGCGGCACAGTGGTGATCAGCATCATAGCGCCTCTGTCCTTCCTCTGCCCAGTGGCAGAAGGCTGATGAGACTGAACAGACAGTGCCAACCCAAGGCCATGATATTGCATACTAAACTGTTAGGAATTTCTGTTTGCAAGTGACAGGATTGTGGTTCAATCTCATTTAAGCAAGGAAAGGGAATCAATCTCTTGTGACTGAAATTCCAAGGAACATCTGCTAAAGAATAGCACCTGGCATATTTGTCCATCTCCATCTCCTGGTCCTCTGCTGTCCTTGTTGGCTTCCTCCTAAGCAGGCTCCCTTTGGGGCAGAGGGAAGGCACCAGCTGCTCCTGGCCCATGTCCTGCCAGCTTAACACATCAGGTGGAAAAGCTGCTTTCCCTAAAGGTTTGATAAAGTCTCAAGACTGAGCCGCATTCCTCCAACTTGGCTTACACACCCACCCCTGAACCCATGTCTGTGCCCTGGGGAATGGGATAAAGTGATTGGCCAGCTTAAGGGGCCCCTTATCCTCCAGGTAATGAAAAATGGGGGTGGCGCAGTTCTCCCCAAAGAAAGGCTGGTGTGGGTACAGAGGGAAGTGGCTGCCAAGCAGCCGGAATAACAGCCCTCTGCAGGTCTGGGAAAGCAGTCATTGACTCAGCTCTCTAGGAAGCATTGAGACCCTTTGTTACCACAGTTGTCCCTCAGTATCTGGGCCTCCTCACCGTGGATACCAAAATCCACAGGTGCTCAAGTCCTTCCTGTGAAATGACGTGGGACTTACATAAC